GAGGAGGAGGAGGAGGAGGAGGAGGAGGAGGAGGAGGAGGAGGAGGAGGAGGAGGAGGAGGAGGAGGAGGAGGAGGAGCAGACGAGAAGAGGATCGGGGAAGGAGCTGAGGCTGCTTCCGGAGGATGTCCAGTCGAGGCCGCTTTATGAGCCAGGTTTGTTCCTCTGGGCGCCCGCGTCGGCAGCATTGCTCTTCCGAGTTCGCCGCGATGTTGCGCCAGCGGCCGAAAGGGAAACCGAGGGGGAAAGAAGGGACCGTGACGGCGGGACAATCGTCACAATGATGGTCGCGGACGGCGAGGGCAGTTGTGAGCCATGTAGGGAGAAGGGGCTCCAGCTGCGCGGACCTCCGCGCGTCAGCTGCTGCGACAGAGCGCTCTTGATACAGCCTCACGACAGTACGGCCTCGAAGCGGCAGTTTGGCGCAGGCTCGCTCGGGGAACTCTATATACAGTCACGGTTCTGCGAGGGCGCACACCTAAGACCCAATGCGAAGTTTCGGCTCCGCGAGGGCAGCCTCGGCCGATGGGCTGGCGCCCCCAATCTGCTCACTGACCGCGTGCCCCCTGGCCTCGTCTCCAACCCAGCCCCTTTTCCCCTCTTCTACACTGGGGCTGTACAGCCTTTGCCCACTACTCTGGCCTTTTGAGTGGGTGTTAGAGTGACCAGGCGTACTGAGCTGTTCGCTTGCAGGGCGCCGATCGTCAATGCCACTCCTTTTTTTAGCTCGTGCAGAATTGCACAGTAGTTATGTGGGTGAACTGGTCCCGCCCGCTAGAATTAGACATTGGTGATGCATCTGGAGCAGCCTGCGTGGGTAGACACCATCGGCGTGCTCGCGGATCCGCGCCGCGTCGATCCAATCGGCCCCCAGCTCAAGAAAAGAAGGTAGTGCAGGGGAGTGAAGGACAGCGGAAGAAACAAGATGGGAGGATATTGCACAAGGGCCCCCAGGGCGGCCCAATCATTTCAATAAGGCTCCCAGGCAGCTCCAAGAGAGCCCAAGAGGCTCCAAGTTGACCCTGAGACCGCTCGAAGATGCCACAAGAGGGAATCACGAGGCCCTCCAGAGAGCTTCTCACCGAAATCAGTGAACGTCAAAGAAGGCCATGACTTGTCCCAACCCTCCTGCGTTAGGTCGCTTCTCTGTCAAATTCATGACGTTCCCTCACCTCCCTTCCTTCTCCCCCCCCTCCCTCCTCTTGCCCCGTGCTTCCTGCCGCATACCTCGCGGTTCCCCCCGGATGCGGCCACCTGCGCAACTGTCGCCCCTTTTCGTTGGTTCTTGGGAGGTCCAGCGGAGCGGTGTCCTAGGCGCATCCAGACCTTGTGTAATGGTCGCCCCTTCCGCGAGCTCCTGGGCGCTCCAGCGGAGCGGTGCCCCATGCACATCCAGGCTAGACCTCGCGGCTCCCTGGGGGGGCTGCCGCTTTCGCAACCGTCGCCACGCTCGTGGCCTTCCGGGAGGCCCTGCGGAGTGGTGTCCTACGCACATTCAGGTTGGAGCTCGCAGCTTCTTGGGGGGGGGGGGGGCGGGGCGGCCACCTGCGCAACCGTCGCTACGTGCGTGAGCTCCTGGGAGGCCCCGCGGATTGTTGCCTCACACACGTTCAGCCTAGACCTCGCGGCCCCCTTTTGGGCTGCACCTGCACAATGGTCGCCTCTTGCGCGGGCTCCTGGTGGGCCTAGCGGAGTGTTTTTTTGCGCACATCCAGACCAGACCTCGCGGTCCCCAGTGGCTGCCATCTGCGCAACGATCATTTTTTTGTCGTGGGTTCCTGTGAGACCCAGCGGAGTGGTGTCGTACGCACGTCCAAATTAGGCCTCGCGGTTCCTTGTGGGGTTGGCTTGCGCAACGGTCGCCCCTGTCGTGGGCTCCTGTGAGGTCCAGCGCAGCGAAGAGACACGCGGACCCAAACAAGATCTTGCGTCTCCCTTGGGGTGGCGGCAGGCTGCGCAGCTTCCGTCACTGGCGTGGAGAGCCGAGGTGGTCCCCGATGCAGTTCGGCGAGGCGTTCCAGAGTGCCGCAGACATTTCACTTCGCTGTTTTGTATACTGCGCGGTCCGAGTGATAGTCGCCGCGCTGTCAGGGAATGGCTGGGCACGTCTCGGGGAATGGCTCTGCACGGCCAGCTGCCGGCGCCAAAGTGAAGCGCCGGCGCAGCACTCCGGGGAGCGCGTCGTGCCTCGCCCAGAAGACTACTGGAACAGGTGGCACCCCTCCGCATTCACTCCTCGTTGGCTTCGCGCACGCGGGGGCGGGGGGAGGGGGGGAGGCTTCTTAGAAGGAGGCTGCTTCTCAGAGGGCGCTGTCCTCACATGTATAGATGAGGCCCGCGCCTTCTGAGAAGCAGGGGTGCTTCCAAGAAGCCCTCCCCCCTCCCCACATCCCCCTCTGCGCGTGGCTGACCTTGAGAGGCGCTCATCGGGCTTGCCTGGGCCGTCTTGAGACCCTCGGGCCTTCGTGGGCCCTCATGGGCCGTGTTCTGGCCTACTGGGTCTTAACCATCTTGGACATCTCGTAGTGGTCTGGGGACTTTTTGGCGCTGCTTGGGAGGTCTCTCGGGGCCCTAATGGGACGTCTTGAGGACATTCCTGGGCTGTCTCGGGGCCGTTTGGGGGCTGTCCGAGGCCGTCTGGGCTGCTGCTTCAGGCCCTCGTTGGGCTCGTTGGGCATCTTTTTGGCTCCTTCGATGCTCTCTGCGAACCACTTTGAGTCGAAAAGTTGAGGGAGCTGAATCTTCCAAAGCCTAAGGATCTCTGAGAGCTGTGAATGATTTTGGCCTTCATGGAGAGCCTCTGGGCCTTCTCGAGGGTGTCTTGGAGAAGGTTTACATAACTAGACATTATACCACGCCTCAACGTCCCAGGAGTCACGGTAGCGGATCCATGTTGACGTCATGTGACTACGGGGGAAGAGGATGAGGAAGGAAGGAGGATGGTAGGGATGACAAAGACGAAGGATGGCGAGGAAGAGGGAGAGCGAGGAGGAGGAGGAGGAGGAGGAGGAGGAGGAGGAGGAGGAGGAGGAGGAGGAGGGAGGAGGAAGCGGAGGAGGTGGGGTAATTGACGCAGTTTTTCGGCGGGCCAGGATAGCGACCTGGCGCGCACCGACGGAACGTTTGTCGCTTACGAATGCCGCGCGAGCTTGCGCGGCGGGTGACCCACGTGCAGTGCCCCCTGCTGTTTTGAAGGCGAGCTCGCGAAGAACATGGGCCGGGACGGCGATTTCAAAGTGAAGTCGAGGCCGCGTAAAAACATTGTTTCGAGGGCAGGTGTAGCATCAGCAGCGCCTTTAGATCCTGGCTGCCTGGAGGGCAGATTTTTCGTATCCATGCAGCCGTGCCCGACCAGGGAGACCCTCTGAGACACGGCGCTCCGTGGAAACAGCTAAGGCACTACGCACACTCGACGTGCCTGCCGCCGAAGCGGGGGCCGCATGCAGAAACTGGTATGCCCGTGCCTGTGGGCATCTCTTCCTCCCCAGACGGCGCCTGCCACCGGGAGTTCTCGCCTGCGCTCTCAAGTCTTTGGGTGGGTGTGTCGGGGTTCTGCCTGGTGCCCGGTTGGTAGCCGCCCAGGCGAGCCACGTGGTCGCCCCCCCGTGCGCTGGGTGGACGTGTCGGGGGTTCGCCTGCTGCCCGCCCCCGGTCGCCTCGTGGCCACCCCCCCGTGCAGTCGGGCCTGTCCCTCGACAGGAGGAGTCTTCAGAAATGGTCCAGACATGATCCAGAAATAGTCTGGGGACGATGCTTCTAGCATTTTTGCCTACTTCGGGGCGTCTTGGAGAGTATCTTCGGCTTTCCGCCCAAAGTCCGCCTGTGGGGGGACTTCCTGTTCCTCCTCCTCCTCCTCCTCCTCCTCCTCCTCCTCCTCCTCCTCCTCCTCCTCCTCCTCCTCTTCCTCCCCTCCTCCTCCTCTTCCTGTTCCTCTTCGTCTTCCTCTTCTCCTCCTCCTCCTCCCCGTCCTCCTCCTCATCTTCCTCCTCCTCCTCCTCCTCCTCCTCCTCCTCCTCGTCCTCCTGGACATGCCCGACCCCACGCTTGATGGGTGCGGCGGGGTCTCGCCCGGCGCCCCGTCCTGGCCGCTCGCGGGCGCCCTGTGTGCGCCCCGTGCGCCGCGTGCGCCGCGCAGCTCGCGCCGCACGGCTGGC